GCTGTTTGAGATTTTCTTCTAAAATGAGCATTTTTATCAGTCTCCTATGTGCAGGGTCAGTAATTTCACTTTAATGGCATAAATAAAATAGGTTGAATAGGTTCTTGTCATTGCCATTAAACTGAATTACCTGAACATAAACATAGGAGACTGATAAAAAATGCTCATTTTAGAAGAAAATTTTAAACGGCACTTAGAGGCTTATATATATATATATATGGCAATTTTTTTTGTATAGTTTGAAATATATTTAAACATATATTTGCTATATAAATATATTTGGTAAAATGTGTTTCAGAACATCAGAGGTGTGAAGTATTTGAGTAAATGTAACTACTTTACTCCACTACATTAGAAATGAGTGTTGCAGTTACACATTACATTTTGCATGCACCTAGCTTTTTCTGCAGCAGTTTACTTCTGCTACAAAAGATGTGATAACCCCAACTACAGGGCACTGAAAGTCCTAGATCTTGTGTGTTTTGCCCTTACTCACACAAATGTGTCAGTGAGACTGTTTTATATGAATACGAGTTACTTGAATCGCAGGTGTTTTGTGTATGAGATGAGGACATGACTGCAGTCAGCGATGAGGCTGAAACCAGCACATCCTGTGCAAGAGTGCTTTGACTTTTTCATTTTACTTAACATTATTTTATCTATCCGTTATACTGAGACCTTTTTGAAGGATATTGTTTTGTTTTGTAATTTTGAGGTGTTGAGTTTTATTTTGGTTTTATAAAATAAACGTGATTGCTCCCCTCACAAATCAGCTCTTTCTTGTTTTTGTTACATGTTCTCTGTGCCTTGTCTTGGACTTTTATGTCACTTCCTGTCTCCTGAGGTGTTTGTAGTCAGTGTGTGTCTTATCTTGTTAAGCTTGTTAGCCTCCTGTATCTGTATCTCTACTTTTACTCAAGTATAGTTTTTTAGGTACTCTTTACACCTCTGCAAAACATTTATGTAAATACATTTTCTACTAATATATAGTATATACTAATATAATATATATATTTTTTTTTTGCTGTATATGTTTGTAGCCAGAAAAGAGCAAAAGGGCAACAGAAAAGCACTCGAAGGTAGAGGCAGAACAGAAACACAGGAAACAGGCTGTGGTTTGTGAGTTCACAGCTAATTTCCCGGTCATTTTTCACACATAACGCCCTCAACATCAGATGGAAACACAGACATACTGTCCATCAGCGCTAGTGTTTGATTCCCATCACGTGAGATCAGCAACAGACATATAACTTTACTCTACACCGATAGCAGAGAGCTGCATTCACAGTATTACTGGAGGTTTGAGTTTAGAAAGTCATTTGAGGAAGATTTTCACGCTGATTTTCTGAACTCAACCGATGAAGAAATGAAGTTAACATTGATGATGTCTGGGTTTCTCCTGATGGGTATAAGCTCAAAAGTTATTATTTTTTTATTTTACATTTTACTGCTACATAAAACGTTTTGTCTACAAATATGGTTTATTTTTGGCAGTGTATGTGAGTAAAGCTGATGTGTGTGTGTGTGTGTGTGTGTGTGTGTGTTAGTTTTTTTTCTGGCTTTCTTGTTTTTGTTAAACTTAATAATGCAGTGAGCAGTTCACAGTGTGTGGATATTACAGAGAGAGGAACGGAGGGAGAACAAGTGACTATTAAGTGTCCTTATGCTAAAGGATATGAAAACTCCTACAAATACTTATATAAAGGACAATACAAAGATAAGAATCTTATACTAAAATCTGATGGAGGAGAGTCATCAATGTCTGAAGGCAGATTCTCTCTGCGAGACGATCATCAGACGAGATCATTTACGGTGACCATCAGAGACCTGAGGATGGCAGATGCTGGACTGTACTGCTGTGGAGCTGGATGGGGAGAATATAAACTAATCCAGCTGAATGTGATTAAAGGTGCCTAATGTTCAACACAAAACAAACAGTCTGTTTCATCCACTATATTCACAATGATTAATGTTGTTTTATTAATGTATTTGTTTGATTTAAACGATGTGATCTTGTTGCATAGCTCCACAGAAAACAAGACCTGTCCAGATCTCAACATCCACCCTTCTTCCGTATACAAACATCAGCACTGACCACACCAGCACAGGTACCTGAACACACACACACACACACACAGGCATGCACACACACACACACACACACACACACACACACACACACACACACACGCACACACTTCGCCTTCAGACACCTTTACACACATGCATTTTTGTAAAAACTATTGCTGATATGTAGTCACTGTTTTTACATAAATAATTTAAGTCATAATTTCAATCAAATCATTAACAGTTACTCTTATTATCTTGAATACAGAGGCATCAAAGCTTCTGAAAACATGTTTAATGCTGCATTCATGATAGTGGAGCAATTAACATAATTTATAAGTTTTCAACAAGTTCTGACCAGACAGTTCATGTCTCAAACTTGCAAACTCTAAATTTTATCAACACCTCAACTTTAAAATATAAACTAATATGGCATGTGGCCTCAACACCTGCAATATTGAGTCAAATGTCAAATAACTGAATGCTTGATATATCATTTTATTACAACCAGTGGTTCTACAGTTCTACAGTTTATGAGACTGCGAACGGCTCAAAATAAAATAATTTCATTATTAGATCATTTGGACATTAGCACAGCATTACATTACATGGGTTTTCCATGGTGTCTTAACATCTGCATTCATGCATCTGACAGACACATTTATCCAAAGTATCATTATTAATTGTGAGCAGCACATTCACATTTCACTTCTCTCTCTCTCTCTCTCTCTCTCTCTGTCAGTGACACCTCAAACAGAACGTGAAAGGACAAGAACAATGACAGGAAGTACTGCAGTTCACCTCAATCAGCCAAAACCTAGTGAGCACACAAACGACACTACCCACAATGCAACAGTCCCCTGTTTGATTATGTGGTATATTTTGGAGAAAAGCAATTGGACTAAACATTTGTTGAGACACATTTTAGCTCATGATGAATCTAATCAAAGTGATGCACACATCAGACGTCATGTGGTTAATCTGGTTTCACATCAGCCATAGACGGAAGTGTTTTCCTCAGAGGACTGAGGTTTACCAGTGCGGGTTCCCGTTTGATTATGTGGTATATTTTGGAGAAAAGCAATTGGACTAAACATTTGTTGAGACACATTTTAGCTCATGATGAATCTGATCAAAGTGATGCACACATCAGACGTCATGTGGTTAATCTGGTTTCACATCAGCCATAGACAGAAGTGTTTTCCTCAGAGGACTGAGGTTTACCAGTGCGGGTTCCCTTCGGTTACACAATATAACAGCAACACATTTCCAATATTTTAGAATGTTGAATATTGCACTAATCAAAGTCATTTATGTAAATGTTAAGATTGTTATTGTTTATTCAACAGTTTAATCAGAATCAGTGCTGTGTTGTTTTGTGTTTAATGTTGTGTTCAGATCTGTCTTCTGTCGCTGGCGGTCTGGGTTCGGTTCTGCTGGTTCTGGTTCTGTGTTCTGGAATGTTCCTCGTCCTGAAAAAGAGGAAGAGGAAATCTGGGACAGGTAACAGTTTATTTGTGATTATAAAGTCCTTTTGGAGTAGGTTTGACTAATTACTTTCTCTCTTTTCATGCACCTTTCAGCTTTATTTCAGCAAAGTATGCAGCACAATACGGAGGTGGGTGATCAAATCTTTACCTGTAGAAGTATAGAAATACGTTACATTATTGTTTATTGATGAGCAATGAATACTATCTATATGAACTAGTAAATAATTTTTTTTGTTTTTCAGACTGAGCGTATGTATGAGATTCCAAACAGTGATGTCATCACCTCAGCATCTTCATCCAATCAGACGCCTGCATCAGACCTAAAAACCCGCCCACAAGGATCTGCTGTTTATGCCACAGTAACCAATCAGCAGCCTGATTCAAACCCCAGTCGCATCCACTCAACCAATCAGGTGACGGATACAGACTGTGATTATTATGCCAGCATGAAGCCGCCTGAAACAACACCGGACAACAGAACAGAACTCATCTACTCAACAGCGACACATCCGCAAAACGTCAAGACAAACGACGGCCCGATATATTCAATGATCAAACATAAATAATAAAAAAAGACTGTCAAAACTTCTTCCACAGACATCTGCACTGATGCTCAAAGTGGAAAAAAAAAATGGTGGTACAAGCAACATAGTTTTAATTCATTAATATCTCGACAGTTTTCTGAGTTTTTATTACTATTTTATTACGTGTATAATGTTACTAACAAGAAAAGTTAAAAAAAAAAATGATGCAAACTTGTGAAAATAAAAAATGATGTGACAATGGTGTGATTCTTTGTAAATAGTACACCTCATCCACAGTTCAATAAGTCCAATAAAAATGTAAATTAGTATTTTGTTTGCCCTAAGCGTGCAGTTCAGAGAGCTACAGGTGATGTGTGATAATACACAGCTTCGACACACACCTCTGACTCTTATTATGTAAGAAATGATCAATGACCAGATGACTTATGTTTGACTGAAATCATCTGCAAACTTATGGTGAATGGTGAAAAATGAACAAAACTACTGAAGGTTAACTTAAACTGAGACCAGTTACAGAACCTACAATCTTGATTTTGATAAAAAATAGCATGTAAGTAGTGTGCTGTTTAGATCAGTGTCATTGTGAAGATGTCGTGTAAAGCTGGATGTGGTTAGAGAGACAGAAAGCGGAAGGAAAAATGAAGCTGCATTTCTCACTTAATAAGGAAGAGAAAGACTGTAACGTCTGTCACAGAATTTGGTCTCATATTTCAGTAAAATGTTCAGCATGTGTGTCGTTCTGCTCGTCTTTTTCAGCATCTCTACAGGTGAGTTCAAGACTCTGAGGTCTTTTGTACAGAGTTTAACATGTTTTCATGTGTTTTTTTGTTTTGTTTTGTTTTTTATTACTGCATGATGATGATTTGTCTCGTATGGATTATATTTGTACCTTATTATTCTGGTCTGTTAATGTGTCTTTATCACATATATCTCTGTATAATGATATTTCTGTCTTTAGTAGTTGTAGTTTCTTCAAAAACAGTCACAGGACACAGAGGAGAGAGAGTTGACATCAGATGCAGCTATGATGCTGGATATGAATCAAATTCAAAGTATTTTTGTAAAGGCAAGTGTCTGACATCAGATGCAGCTATGACGCTGGATATGAATCAAATTCAAAGTATTTTTGTAAAGGCAAGTGTAACTATAGAAATAAAATCATCATGGTTAAATCAGGATCTCCAGCTAAAGACAAGAGATTCTCTCTGACTGACAACAAGAGGACCAGAGTTTTCACCGTCAGCATCACTGATCTGAGAACAGAGGACACAGGACTATACTGGTGTGCTGTGAAGAGGCCTTTTACTGATATCTATTCAGAGATTTTGTTGATTGTTAAACAGAGTAAGTGATTACGTTTATTAGAAAGTGTGAGTGAGTGACCGAGTCATTAAATCTAGTCTCGACTAATATACTGTTGAGTTGATTGTCTGCTAGGCTTGAGTGTGTTTGGTATAAAATACATAATTAAACCAGAGATTGCATGAACGATTATATGTATTTAAAAGTTGATCTTTCCTGTCGCTGATCAGTGAAGAAGACCACTAAAGTTTCAACTATCAAAACTTTTACAAACACACCGTCATATTTCAGCACAACAGAACCAAATCCACGATCCAGCAGCATCACAATCACAGAAAGAAAAGAAAGAATCACAGATCAACACAAATCAGCAGGTCAGTCCATCTGTCTGTCACTGCATATGACTCTTATTCTTGGATATTCAAATAGTGTGCTTATAAATATACTTGAATACATTTCTATATATTAGATGATTCCTTTCAGATTAGATGTGTGTTTAATGTCTTACTCTACATGCAGGGTCTGAAATCCACATCTGGGTTGAAGACTGAAAGTTCAGTCAGATATTTGCTTCCTTGTCATATATAATATATATAATAAGATATTTATAATGTACATGTATACTGCTTTAGATAAGAAAGTGTCTTCAATAGAAAATACAACTTCTATTCATATTCACAAATTAATATGAATGGTTTGTGTGTGTACATGTAGTGCTTCATTTCTGTGTGTTCATGTTCTTACCACATGAGCAGCACATTCACATTTACTTGTTTTTCTCTCTGTCATTGACTCCTCAAAAAGAGAGTGAAACAACAAGAACAGGAAGTACTGCAGTTCAACTCGATCAGCTAAACACTAGTAAGCAGACAAACTACACTACCTATGATGCAACAGTGCCCTCAATGATTACATAGAATGAGATATTTTGGAGAAAAGCGATTGGTTTAAACATTTGTGGAGACACGTTTTAAAGTGTCCCTATTATGGGTAATGAAAGGTTCATATTTTGGTTTTGGGAGTCCCCAACAACAGGTTGACATGCATGCAAGGTCAAAAAAACACTTTCATTGTCTTATAATATGCATTTATTTTTACCTTATTTGCTCAACGACTCCCAAACGATTCGTTTAACGAATCATTTTTCCAAACCCCTGTGTGACGCTAATCTGCGGTGATTGGTCTGATTGGTCTCATTTTCATTTCATCATGCCTGTAATGCCTAATGAAGCAGCGTTTGTGAGCGCAGTGCTGCTTTGTGTACAGCGTTACTGGGGAAACTGCTATTTGCTCCAAAAGTGGCACCTAGTGGCAAAGCGGCTTGGGATTCATTTTAAAAACGACTCGTTTCAATGATTCAGATTTGACACTTTCTTTTGAGAGACAATAACATTATACATGGTGCACTTTCAGATTTAAAGGGGTCATATGATGCTTTTTTAAAGATCATTATTTTGTGTATTTGGTGGAGCTACATTAAAGTGATTATTACGTTTTTTAATATGGATATTTTTCTTACAAAAACGCATCAATTCGCTATACAGGAGGCCTTTGTTCACCCCCCGGAGCCGTGTGAGACACTTTTTTTATATAGGCAAAATGACTTATATCAACTATTGTTCATTTGACAGTTGTTATTTTAATGTTGTGTTCAGATCTGTCTTCTGTCGCTGGTGGTCTGGGTTCGGTTCTGCTGGTTCTGGTTCTGTGTTCTGGAACATTCCTCATCCTGAAAAAGAGGAAGAGGAAATCTGGGACAGGTAACAGTTTATTTGTGATTATAAAGTCCTTTTTGAGTGTTTGAGTTGATTTGACTTTGTCTTTTTCTCTCTTTTCATGCTCCATTCAGCTTTATTTCAGCAAAATGTGCAGCACAATACGGAGGTGGGTGATCAAATCTTTACCTGTAGAAGATCAGAAATGATTATCAGTATTATCTATATAAGCTAGTAAATTATTGATGTATATGTTGTTTTTCAGAGTGTCCACATGTATGAGATTGCAAACAGTGACCCTGGACCATCTGATGTCATCGCTTCAACATCTTCGCCCAATCAGATGCCTGCATCGCACCTCAACACCCGCCCACAAGTCTCTGCTGTTTATGCTACAGTAACCAATCAGCAGCCTGATTCAAAGCCCAGTCGCATCCACTCAGCCAATCAGGTGACGATCTGTGATTATTATGCCAATATGAACTCACCTGAACCAACAACAGACTGCAGAACAGAACTGATTTACGCAACAGCGACACATCCGCAAAATGTCAAGACAAACGACGGCCTGATATATTCAGTGATCAAACATAAATAAAAAAAGACAAAAAAGTTCTTCCACAGACATCTGCACTGATGTTCCAAGTGAAAAAAAAACTGGTACATGCTACATATTTTTTAATGAATCAATATGTTGACACACTTTTCTGAGTTGTTATCAGTATTTTAAAAACTATGTAATTTTACTAACAAGAAAAATGAACTTAAGTATCCTTTGTAAATTATTCTTAGTAAATCTCATTTACAGATAAATAAGATGAAAATGTAAATATATTGTGGATAAGCTTAAAACGTTTTAGACACCGTTCTCACAGGTGTATTATACAGGTCTGTATTAAGCACTGTTCACTTGTGCTCGGATCAATGAAAACATCTTAATACCAGTTGTAAACAGGGCCTGAAATCGGCTCCAAAATAACGACCCTGCTGAAATAAACAACAGAAACCATCACAGAAATTCTAATGGTTTCCTCTACAAATACCATTACAAACATTAGAAACCATCAACTATTAACCATTAAAACCATTACAAAATGGTTTCATGTAGTGTGTTTTGGGAGATATTCCATTAGGATGTAATGATTTTAACAAGTCACTAATAAAAGTTGACAAATTACCTGTAGCGACCCACAGAGACATTACAGTTTCCATTAAAACCAATACAAGTCCCATTATAACCAGTAAAACCATTACAAATTCTGTGATGGTTTCTATTGGGGTTTTTTCAGCAGGGGGTGAACTCATGAAAAATGGACTATAATTATTGAAGGTTAACTTAATGAAACTGAGAGCAGTTACGGAAGCTAAAATCTTGAATTTGATCAAATATACACTCATGAATGCAATTGCTGTGCTGTTTAGGTCTGTATAATAAATGGACAGAGGGTCAGTGTCATTGTGAATATGTCGTGTAAAGCTGAATGTGGTTAGAGAGACAGAAAGGGAAGGAAATATGAAGCTGCATTTCTTCACTCAGTACGGAGGAGAAAGACTGTAACGTTTGTCACAGAATTTGGTACCTAAAGTTTTAATCTGCAAACTGCCTTCTCTGTTGTTTCATTTGCTTCATTGCAACAAATGAGCAACATTTTAATGAGAATTAAGAAACAGAATACAAATTCCAAATTAATAAAAAATTGGAAAACTTGTGATTGAATGAAAGGAAGGCAATTTAAGTTGATACATTTATATGTGAAAAGTAAGTTGGGCAAAACAGAATGGTGTAATCACAATACAGACAAAAGAACTTACTAAATAAAACAAATAGGCCTTGAGACCTAAAAACAGTGATTGTGCATTGCATCAGCCATGAGCTTGCCCAGCTCCTCAACACCTTTTCATATTCAAATGAATCGCCATGAGAATGCAATTTGTGACAACTTAGACCTTATTGCAGATGGAAAATTTCTCACATGAGTTGTGATTTGACCATGTACTCCAAATATGCTTGCAGTCATTGGATTGGCTCAAAGCTGAGTCCGAGGGTACACCCACTCAGAATACGCATGTTTTTCTCCCTGTTGCATGGGAGGTGTTTTATGGCCAAATAGTAACACACAATTAAACATATCACACCTTATATCAAGCAAATGGCTACTGGGCCTTCACAAACCCTTGAGACCTAAAAACAGTGATGGGGGTGTAAAATACTAAACGTCAGACCGAAATACCAGATGTCTTTATGTGTCACAGTGATCTGCATGTGTGAACAACACCATAAAACAACATTTGCCAAACAGACAACACCGAAACAGGTGAACACATTTCTGCCCACAGATCTGACTGTAATGAGAGCAACTGCAACTAAAGCCATGGACATTGGTCCATTGGAGTTCATGATGACATGGGTGATAAAAACACCAATTAATCTAGAAAATGTCCCCAGCAGAACTGGGGTCTCTAATGCTCATGACACAGCAGACTGTGAAGGCTCAACTGCAGGAGCAGCATCAAGTGTTACACACTCAGACTGCACTGAAACAGTCAGCAGTAATTAGATCTGACCGATGACACTCAGTTTCATGTGACATCTGGAATTAAAAGTACAATACATGATGATGATGTAGTTAAAATAATTCCACATGTCTGAACGTGAAACTGATGAGAAGTTCAAAATTAGCTGTGGTTTTCTCTGTATTTGATTCTGTCTCAGGCTGACCACTGCAATTCCTTGGAGGACAGATACCAGGAAGGCGCCTGATCCTATCTGCATCAAGCCAGGACAGCAGAATTGTTAGACCATAACCTGAAACGCGGGAGATGGGTGCGAAGACACTTGAAGCGGCCAGTCACACCTCACAGCAGAACATTACTACACAAATATCTATATGGCCTCCCGGATTAGCACCGGAACTAAATTTGTGCAACACAGATTGCTACAGATTAGACTCCGCCCATCTCCCAGACATGGGCACAGAACACACACCTCATCTAGAATTTTCAGTCTGAACACTACACATAACAGAAAACAATGATGGCTTAGATTACAAACGTGATACTTCACTAAAAAGATCCATTGTCCATCTTCACACTGACAGAACCACATAGCCTCACACACATAGGAAGACATATGAATCCCATGATGACAGTCTAAAAGAGACACACAACATGTATACTATTTGCAACCATCTGCAAACTCATGGAACAACACTATAACACACATTTGCATGACTAGTCACAGATCGATGGTGTAACTTCTAAACGCAGAGGCAGACGAGTCCTTACAATTTAAAATATTTAATATTTCTGATGGTTATTGGGCTGGTTGGCAAGCCAGAGGGCCCCTGGCTTCCCAACACATCACTAATAACAGAAAAACATTATCAAAATTATCAAATGTGAAGTGCCTGCACTTCATTTCTATCAATCAATCATAAAATGTACAATTCTACCAAACCATCAACTGTGACTTAGACTGCATATCAGATACACACACACACACAAACACACACACACACACACACACACACACACATCTGTTACAAGGAATTCAGGATTTCCATTCTAGAAGAATTCTAAATCATGTTCTAAGTCACTTCTTAGAAACCTTAGACCTACATAAGTGACTTGCTTTGGAAGATTCCTGAATGAACAGTGTGATTATTATATATACCTACATAATGATTGTGATTGAATATTATTATTATTGTCATTATATGGCTTGGTTATTGATGCATACCTCTACATTAATGTCCAAGTTATACTGACCTCTTGCTGCATTTCCTTTGAGTCATTCAGACCAAGAATACCTAAATTAATGCTTTTGATTACCGTAGAGGGCCATTCCATGCAAATTACCTTCTGTTTCCCATTGAGGTGTAAACTAGCCACCCAGATACCAATTGTTTGTACATGCCTCCATTTTGAGGATGGTTTACCTTGGTTTTGTATTTAAAGGATTGCAGCAAAAGGGTCGGCGCGATTCTGTAGTCAGAGAGCCCGTAGTATGGAGTGTCTCCACACACTCTGTACTATGTATTTTACTAAAAGTCAGGTATGTATCTTACTCTTAGATTCGTCTTTGAGAATTTTATGTCTTGTATTGATTTGATATCGTTGAATTGGCTATGGAGATAATTGGCATAATACATATTTACCTGACTGATTAATAAATTGTTACATTTGATCTATTCTGACTTACTCTGAAATTATTTCCTCAAGTAGATTAAGTGAATGCGTATCCGCAAATCTGCGACCAGGGTTACGTGCATACTAGATCTCAGGTTTAGATGAAGCATGGGGCGCATCAGGTGAGATAATGGGTTTCTGACTAACCGCTTGACCTTAGTTTAAGTTGTACTCAGTTACGTTAACCATGTATATGATTTTAGCTATATTAGCTGTCGGGGTCTAGACAAAGGTGGTCTAGAAGAACCGCTGATTAATGTTTGAGTATTACATGGGTAACTGTAGGGGGCTAAACAGAAATAGTATTAGCCAGAAACCTCTGAATAAGGATTAGAATGGCGAGTTTTGTGATCGTGGAGCCCACACATAGCGGCCGCCGTGAGGCATCCTAAAAACGACATAGATTCCTAATGAACGAGTAAAATACAAAGTAAAGGGTTAATTAGAATAATCGAATGTCAGAATAATCAGAGACCGATAAAGAACCGATCTCCCTTTCAACCTAAATTCGAGGTCATACTAAAATGGAGTCAGATTGAGTTAAACCTAAACTGAATAACTCTGCACGCTGAAAAGACCGAACACGCAAGAAACCTTCATCCGCCACTGGATACCTTCCTTGGGCCATGTGCACGGACCTTACAACCGCAAGGTCAGATTTAGAAACTAAACACACAGCCACCCCCCACCCCCCACACACACACACACACACGCACACATGCAAACACACACACAGAGACACACACGCACGCACACACCCACACACACACAAACAGAGAGACATGTTCCCATGCAGTAGCTCTCTAAATGTTGATTTTCCATAGGTTTCTAGTGCTTGTTATATATAGCTGTAACATAAAAAAAACTGTTCAGCATTTTTATAGTTTAAAAACAATCTTTATTTACTTTATTTACAAAAAAAAATTACAAGGTGGCAATTTCGTATGAATTAGTAAAATTTGATTTGTATGAAAATGTAATTTTTTTTTTTAAAAAAGAAACGTAAACCTGAATATAACCATCAGCAGAGAGTATTCGCCAAGACATAAATAATTATGAACTGTCATAAGAGTGGGTTTCTATTTGTATGTATATCGTTTTTACAAATGAGGACATTTATGGCGTTATTTTACTGTCAAATGTCGAGAGCGCACTGTTGTAGCGCGGAAGTACATTGCTATGATGCGCAAGCGCAAATCTCTCTGCTTGCACGCGGATTGCCTTTGCTCTCGCACTAAACCGGACATGCACTCTCAGATATGTGCTGCTCTCTCCCAGAGAGTGTGCACGCACTTAAAACGTGTCCTTTGCACTCGCAAATCTCTCCATGCTCTTGCGCTAGAAATTAATTATTTTCGCACCTGGATTAAACGTTGTCAAAAGTTATCAACAAATCAGACTTCCATGACTGACCGATTAAAATGCT